ACGAGGTCCAGTCGTGGTGTTGAGCTAAGACGTATATGACTTAATGGACCGAAACGTCTTAACTCTTTCGTGCTTATTTTTCCCATACCAGCTTCCTTCCTACATCTATCAATACATAGTTCGTTCTATTCCTGCCCTATTTAAATTTTTAGTTTTACTTGTATGCTACAATCAGCTTAGAGTTTGAGCGATACCGAGACAGTGCATGTCGTAGACAAAGAATATATAAACTTACATAGAAAAGAAGATTCTGTAATTCCTCGTAATGAAGAAGTGGAGGTGAGTTTGCTGGGGTAGTGAGATTACCAAGCAAAAAAACAATTTTATCCCAATTATTCTGAGCACTGCCATCTGAAATAAAGTTTGAATGAGACAGGATATGTGCCCCATGCTTTTATCATCTTATTCGGAAGCCTGTGCATGCACCTGCAAAATTCCGATGTTTCCTTTTCGTCCTGAATAAAAAATCAATGGGAGGGATATATCGCTGGTACACCCAGCAAATCTTCAGGCCCTTTTTCTACTATGCAACAATCTACCTCCTCTCTTCAGGTGTTACTCAGGAGACCGTTTTGCGTACCTCTGCTTCGAGACGTCTACTGACTGTTTTCTGACAACTTTTGCATGTCACACAGCAGTGAATGCCGCTGTGCAGCATAGATGACAGGCGAGCCAGACAGAGCTGCTTGCAACGCATGAGCTCTTTTCAGTAACACCGGAACTCCACAATTTTTTCCGTGAGGCCAGACTATATCTGTGAGACAAACACTTAACCGTATCCTTCAATTCGCATACGAAAACAAGACTTCCACACTAATCGACGATATGCAGTGAAAATTTCATAACTTACTTCGCCCCAGCAACGCATCCCAACTGCAACACTTATTCGGTCGCTCGAACGCATCAACGTAAAGGCGACCCAAATGCAATCCTGAAATACCGGACTGTCACTCTCACAAAATAGAATTGAAGTTGATTAAATTTTTCAAATGTAACACAAATGAGCAAAATTACCGGACGAATACACTGGCATATCTTATCGAACACAAGCATACTACAACTCGTCATGAAAATAATGCCTCTGGTGATGTTCAGAATAAGGAGAAACTTGCCTGAGATATCTGCCACCGAAAAAATCCTCACATCCGGACTACATCGATCCATTTCGTTGTTTGACACATCCTGAAAACACAATATTTCGAATCATACGCATGGATG